TTGTATTGACAAGGTTGTGTGTGTGTGTGTGTGTGTGTGTGTGTGAAAGAGAGAGAGAGAGAGAGAGAGAAAGTCAATATTGTCTCAAAAGAAAAGCTCCTTGATATCATGGGCCCTGTCTTTATGTAAGACATAAAGACATAGCCTGTCAAACTATAATTCAAGTATCGAACTATAATTCAAGTATCATTTGTAGGGTAATGAAAAGTTTTGGAGCTAAGCTTTATAAACATTAATTATTTTTTAAAAAACTATGAAAATAATTACTATTTTAGGTTTACAAAGCTGAGACCTATAGAGTCCTCTTTTTTTTTAAAGATTTTATTTACTTATTTATTTATTTGACAGAGAGAGAGAGAGACACAGCAAGAGAGGGAACACAAATAGTGAGAGTGGGAGAGGGAGAACAGGCTTCCCGTTGAGCAGGGAGCTTGATCCCCCAGCCTGAGCTTAAGGCAGACGCTTAATGATTGAGCCACCCAGGCACTCCTGGAGACCTTTTTTTTGTTTGCTGTTCATTTATAAGCCAAGCAAGAACTTGGGAACAACCTTGAATCTCAGGTTGTTTTCAAACAACTGAACAAACTCTTTAAAAGTCATTGCCTTTATGCTTGGTCCTCTATTCCTTAAAATTTCTTAAAAAATTTAAACTGAAGAAAAAATGTAATGCCAATGTTTAACAATGAGGCCAATGCCTAAACTCAATGTCTATTCCACCAAACAATTCTTTACAAATTTTTCAGCATGATTTACTCACCTCGAGGTTTTTTTTTTCTTTTTAAGATTTTATTTATTTATTTGTCAGAGAGAGAGAGAGAGAGAGCGAGAGTGAGCACAGGCAGTTAGAGTGGCAGGCAGAGGCAGAGCGAGAAGCAGGCTCCCTGCTGAGCAAGGAACCTGATGTGGGACTCGATCCCAGGACTCTGGGATCATGACCCTAGCCGAAGGCAGCCGCTTAACCAACTGAGCCACCCAGGCGTCCCCACCTCCGGGTTTTTAATGTGGTTCCCTTTTCTGTGCTATGTGGTATAGCCTGCATAGAAAAATTTGTCTGACCCCTTAATGGGTCCTCCAATTTATCCTTTTCCTTTATACCTCTGTGGAATTGTATGTTTTGACATGAAGTGTTATTTCCATTTAAATGTGTACTCTAATGTATTTATTGCTTGTATTTGATCCATTGAGTTTTGAAGAAGTTATTGATCAGTATAGGCAGGGTTATTTAAAATTTGAAATAAACTATAAAGTTTTTATGCATTTTAATCTGGGCACAGGGTTGTTAACAGATTAATCTTTGAAAAACATCATCTATTCCAGAGAACTTTCATTCTTCAAAAATATCTGATGTGGTCGTATTTTTTTGTGTTTTTTTTTTTTTTTTTAGTATATGATATCTCAGGACTCTATATAGGATGGATAGTTTTCATTAAAAGTGAATGCTATGGAATGGGAAATATTTGGGGGAGAGAGAGAGAAGTGTTTTTATAATGCAAGGATGAAGAAAGGCTTCATTTAAGCACTCCTGGAAAATGATGTAAAGCCAAAGGAAAAACTTAATCTTCGATAAAGTTGAAGGGTTACGGGCCACTACTACCCTTTCAAAAGAAAAAAAAAAAAAAGACATTCTTTCTAAACAACACTGGATAAAGAAGAAAGAAATTTACAGCAACTGAGGTTCATACCTAGAGCATACCTGTAGAGCCTAGCACTATCTCATAGGAGAACCAAGACCAGAATCCAAACTTCTGGACCCCAGTTACTCTCCATATCTTGCTATCTTCAGCTGACATGTGGGTCTTTTGATAAAGAAAGCAGCATCAGAGAGTGTCAAATCAAAAACAAAACAAAACAAAATCAAAATCCCATTGCTTAAGAAATATAAGTTGACCCTGTAATTAATGCTTCTGGTTTATAAATTGTTTTACTAAACGTTATAAATTAAGATTGAATTTTCTTTCATTTTACATTTCCCATTTCCAATTAATCTCTAGTTGATGATGTATGTAAAGTCTGGCCAAAATGTAAAGTTTTGAGAAGAGCGCTCAAAAAGTCAAAATTTCTGAGAACCCTGGTTGCCTACCTAAGAAGTTTTGATGCATTTAATAGGAAATAGAGACTTTGGGAGAATTTTGAACAAGGCAGAGCTTTAGAAAGATGAATCATTTCATTGAAATAATACATTTTTCTCTTCCACTCTGAATACAGAAGGAAAGATCGTCACACACTTTCAAATCACCCCATTTTGCATTAATAGTGCAACTAAAACTTTTGGTTGAAATTGACAAGAATAAAATGTGGTTTAGAGTTATCCTTGGATAATGATTATTCAAATATTTTCCCTCCATATCATGACTATAGAAAATTCGTTCATCAAATAAAGGTTTGTTGTATTTTTTTTCTAGACCATCTCTGAGATGTTAAAATAATTTTCTCTTGACATATAGGAAGACAAAGCTCAATGGAAATTTCTTCCCCCAAAAAGTCATTTTTATTTAGACTCATCCATTGAGCACAGAGAGTTAAAAACTTGACTCTCTGACTTAAAAAAAATAATAGTAATCTGGAATAAAATTTTGTCCTTCAGAGCAACCATCTATTTTTCTGTCTTATGAATAGTTTCGGAGGATGGCTGGCATTTGTAGAATTAACTCTTTAAGGTGTTAATTATTGGTAAATAACCCCAGAGATCTTTGGCATGAAGTGTTTTATAATTTTGCTAAAGCATAAATGTGCATCACCCAGATTGGGTAAGTGCTTAGGTGTAAGTTGTCAGGCTAGAGCATAAATCTTACTGAGCATCAAGCATTCAGTGCCCAAACTGATTTCATGTCTGTTTATTCAACCATCAAGCAAAATGCTAGATGTCATGCTCTACCTTATTTGAAACAAAGGCAATATCCTCTGAAGCGATCGCAAATATGGAAATATCTAAAGAATATGCCATTAACCCATGTCAAAGGTCTGTTTCACATTATGATTAAACAGATGTAGGTTGGGAAAGTCCCATCGAAAGAGGCCAGCTAATTGTTTTGCTAAGAAAATCTATGATTCTCTAGAAAATCTTGGGAAAATCAACACAAGGCAGCCTTTAAGTTTTAGGATTTTAAATTTTAAATTGTCTCTAAGTAATGCTGGCAGTGTGTCCCCTTGGAGTTTGAATCATTTGCTTTAGAAATCATAAAAATTGCCAGTTGATTAAATGTTAGAGTCAAACAGATTCATGCAACTGAATTTGGAATTTCCATTTTTGCAACAAGTGAATCAGATTTAACATTTAGCTTTTGATCACTGGGTAATGAGTCACTTGATTGGTACTCTAATGATCTCTAAAATAAAATTTGCAAATGAAATATGAGGCCCTATATTATATATCCCCAAGGATTAGGAAAAATGCCTTAGATGAATTCTATTTCATTGCCAAAATAGACACTCAAGGAAGATAACTAAAAGTATTATTATTTGAAATAATGAAATTATTGGCTTTCTAAAAATTATTTATCTAGAGGCTTTAAATGTAATGACCTCATTAACTTAAAGTTACTGGCATCTACATTTTATGTGAAACTCTTAGCATGTCACTATATTTATTGTTAGATATAGACTCTGTGATAGTCCCCCATTTCTTTTTAAATTGGGATTTTTATCATGCCCAAAAGAATGACCCAATCATCATATTTTCTGACTTCAGATTTTGACAAGAGGCCTTTCCCTTGGGCTGCCAATGAGAGCTGTCAATGATATTTCCCTGTAAGCGACAAGCTCTCTTGTCAGTGGCAGGCAGGCACAGCAATTTAAGCTTTTGGTTAAAAATAGTCAGGATTCAATGTCATCTTGAATTTTTTATTCTTTTTTGCAAACACCAAGAGATGTGATACCATTCTTGGAGATGGCTGTATATCTAGATATATTTATTTAGTTAGTTTTTTTTTTTTTAAAGAGGACAAACATTTTTTAAAAGAGGACAAAGCATTGAAAACATAATTTCTCTTTAGCTATTGAGGGAATATAGGGAGAAGAGTTGAAGTAGCCAAAATAAAATAAAGCAAACAAACAACAAAAATAAACCTTTCTTTCCATGCTACATCCTCATGTGCCCTCCAAAACATGCAAAATTTAAGACACATGGGAAAATGCAACAAGAACTATTACTTTGCACATTACATTACACCAGAATAATATCTATCTAGATTTAGATTTGCTATTGTCTTCAAGATGAATACTGAACTTCCTGAAAACAGAAATAAAACACTTAACCTCAAATCTCTTGGACCTAACTAAGGCCCTGACTACCTCTACATGACCTACTGTAAGTCAGTTAACTAGCAGTCCTTGATTTGCTCCCCTCGGAAATAATGGAAAGAATGCTTTGGCACCAACCATTCAAGTATTATGGCTGTGTATGAGCAGCTGTCAGAGAAAAGACTTTCAGGAGGCCCTGAGCCTCTTTGTTGACCCTCTTGGGAAAGCAAGTATTCTGCTGGATGAATGAGAAGCCCATCTCTGGCATTCAGCCCAACCAGTCATGAACCTCACCTGTATTATGCGGACCAATAATACAATCAAGCGTACCAGGTGATTTATAACTGTGATGGTTGACACTGTAGGATTGAACAGGGGTAGGACAGGAACTACACTGAACTACACTATTAGACCTTCCATAGAGTGGAAACTGAGTCCCAATGTTGCCCACAATATCAGAAGCCTCCCAGTCACAGATGATACAACTTTTATTTTTCTTTTCTTGTTTCCAGGTTACACCTGCCTATAACTTAGATATCTAAAGTTCTTGAGCATTTGGCCCTTGGGGGCTTAGGGGACTAGGGGCTCATATTAAATGATAGATCCGTTCTTCAATTCCAGTATTAGTTTTTTTTTCCTCTTAAATGATTATGTAGGTGGAAGGAATTTTGGAGCCTCCTTGGCACCAACCCTTTCTGGCTCCCTATGCCAAGCATATTAAAAGAAAAATGCGCAGTAAAGTTACCTCCAATTCCTTTTAGGTTAGGATTTTAAACAAGAAGATTGATTTTAGCAAGGTTCAGTCCCGATGTGGTTCCAAGGATAACATCAAACATTCTGCTGGGGGCGGAAATGTAAGTAGAAGTTTCTATGAGAAAGCTGTCTTGATTGTGTGGAGCCATCTACACAGCCAGCCCCCTGTCTACCTTTCCTGCTTCTCTCACAACACACACCTCCTACTTATTGCTGCTCCACAAGTCCCCTGGTCTGGGAGCTTGTCACCCTTGCATTTTTGCTGGTGGGCTTCCCATCCTTCCCTGAAAGATTATCAGCAAATTTCTTGCTTTCAGTTGAGGAATAAAATCTTACGGGGCCGCATCATGTCTTTCAGGAGGATGGCAAACACACCTCACTTGCCAATTTTGTTTGCTGGCCTTTGACTTCAAGGTTCTTCCTCATGTTGTCTCTACTCCCCTGCAAACATCAGCTGGGCACACACTTTTATAGCTCCATTTCAATTACTCTTGAGGCAAAGACTGACATACATGAAAGTACCCAAAGGGTGTAATGTCAACCTTTTGTACATCACTATTCATGAGAGTTAGGATATCATTTGAAATAATTCAAAACTAGTGAAGCACAGTTCATCTGTCATTCAAAGTGAAAAAACTCAAGTCGCAGTATAAACTTTGTCTTGATGGGATTTTTTTTTTCCTGTGTCTTGAATTGAATGGAAATAATATCTTTTGAGAGGAAGGGAAAGAAGAATCCATGTTTCTCAAACCTAGTTGAGGCAGAGCTGAAACAGGCAAACTCAAGGTAAAGGAAGCATGGTTCATTACACAATACGAATATTAAAGGTGACTCAAGCTGACTCTCCATTCTACAGATCCTTGTCACCTAAAATTCAGATTCTGGGCATCTGTGACTCAAGAGTGTCAAGTCCAGAATTCTTGCCTGTTTAATAACTCTTGTCTCCTTGCTCCTCAGCTAGGCAGAGATACAGTTAAGCAATGAAAGAGATGACAAGCCAGTGCCTTCTACCAGGACCTGTCACCTGTTGCTCGAAGTAGTTCCACTGAGCCTGAAAATGTCACTGTCATCGAAAGTCTATAGCAAATGTTGCTAGGCTCCTTAAGGATGCTGAGCTTAGCCTCAGGATCAGTATTTACATTGACATGGTGGCCCTCCTCCTTGTGTCCTGACTATAAGTGCAAACTGTGTGGTAGTCTCGCAGAAGCAGTCTCAGTCCTAGGAAATACCTGGAGGGTGTCAGAGGACAGCCCCTATCCTCTCCTGCAGCCCCTACTGGCCAAAACAGCTAGGTGGCAAAGGAAAAATTGAGATAACAATCTTAAATTAGGTAGGGGATCTTCCAACCTCCAAAACAGTTGTCAAACTTTCCTCTAGAGAAGAATCACTTATTCAAATATGCAGATTCCATGGCCCCATTTCCAATTCAGTAATACTCTTGTACTTCTGACACATTGGACAATGGACCACAATCAGAAAAGCACTGTTTCTAACACAAGAAAAAAAAATGTTATTTTACAATTTGGTAGATAAGAAAAATTCCATTTTGGCAAGACATGACCATTTTAGAAAAGCTTTGAGCTTTCTTCTTCTTATATCTAAAAGCAATGCTGGTCTTCTTGTATCTATGAGCAATGTTGGTCACTTTTATGTAAAAATCATTTTTTAAAGAGTAATTCATTTCTTCACTTGGCTTTTTGCTTATGGAAATGTTTAACATGGTGTGGCTTCATTCTGTGAGTGGAAGCTTGCCTTATTAATCCAGGTGTTTCTATCCTCTTGTGGCATGATCTCTTTTCTACTAAAAAAAAATCTTCTGTTCTAGGATTTTCTTTCATTTGGGTCCTTCTTTCCAACCAAATGTGGGAGGACACTGGGAGGTTATGTTTTCCTGTGTGTGTGTGTGTGTGTGTGTGTGTGTGTGTACTTCAGTTTGGGTTTCTGTGTTGTTGTATGTTGTGAGTATGGGTATGTTTCTGGATTTTATGTATGAGCCTGGGGACTTGTCCATGTCTCAACCATGTTAAGCGTATTTTTTGTGGTTCATACAGGTGCAGATTGTTACCAAGAAGATAGACCTAAGCCATGTGACATCTAAATGTGGCTCTCTGAAGAACATCCGCCACAGGCCAGGTAAATAAATACTTCTTGGTAGTTGAGGAAATATTAAATTGCTCAAGAAATCAACAAGCAAATTTTTTTTGTTTTAAAATACCTAACTGGAAAAAGTCTCAAAATCCTGAAAATTCATGCTTTTATTAATGGAAACTTAAGGAAGAAACTTTAAGGCATCTTCATTTGGACAAATAAGTTCAATTATCACAAGGAGGCCACATATCATAGGACAGGTTCAAAATTAAAGGTATATAAATGCATTTATTCCTACGTACTCAACATGCTTATTGGAACTCTTTTGAAATATATGGTTTATAAAACACCTTGGGTCATGTATTTATACATAATTACATGGATTGAAAGCAGCATTTCCAAAGATTTTTCATGAAGTATTTTGTCTACATATGTGAAGGAAGGATTGTGTTTAAGCAAAGCTGATGAAAATATTTATCTGCTAAATTTCTCAGATCCTACAGTAGGTCAATAAGCATTATAAATCCTCAGCAGAACGCGGTGCTTAAATGACCCATCACTTGACACAGTGCTTGTACCAGCTTATTTAACTCTTGGCCTCTTGTTTTTCTAGAATATTGTATAGGACTAGTGCTCTAGAGTACAATTTACATTCATACTTGTTGGGGATTTTTTCCTCTTTAAAGTGTAAATCTAACATATTATGAGTCATTTTTCTGAGTACCATTATTATATATTTTTGCTAAATTCTACCTTCATGTGTATTTAAATAATGGACAACTGTCAAATTTGTTATTTTCTTGAGATTATTTTGACACAATAGATACCGTTGAGTTATAGAAGGACAGGAGGAGGCCTTTGCTATGCTTGATGTCTTAATTAAACCAGGTAATAGGTTATTCCCATTAATCACTGCCTCAAATGTTATCAGAAACAAAGTATAAGAACAATCGAGCCAAAAAGATTTCTAACCAAGAAAAAGATCATTAAGAAGAATTTATTAGTTGAAAAAGAAAGGGAGATAGGCTAAGTTTCAAAATGGATAAATGCATTGGAAACATGTTTAGAAGTCAGGTTTCACTTTGACAAAGGGTGTTGATAAAACAAGTCAAGGAGTTTGAAAAGACATATATGGAATCTCTATTGGTTCACAACCCTCTTGAGAGGGTATAATCTGAAACTGGCCCATGTACTCAGAAGATGGGGGGAAACCAAAGAAAGAGGCAGGCCATTCCAGGTTAGTAGGTGGCAGTTTTAATAAGTAAAAGGGAACTTTACATATTAGACTTCTCTTGGGTAGCAGTAAGATGGATCCTCATACCCACCCACCAAATCTTAAAAGTCTATTGAAGAGGCCTTAACAGGGTTTAGTCATGCATCCTGTGTAGGTGTTCTCAACACCACATCATTATCTCAAGGCTCTGTCCTTGGAACAGCTTGTTGAAGCAGAAAAGGCAAGCAAGGGAGAAAATGAGAAACATCCAAGTACCCAGGTCCAGTTTTCAGGTCAATTAGTGTCATGTCTTTTTGTAGATGTTCCTCAATAATCTCCAATATTAATTTCAGAACCATTACCCTGGAATTAGCTTCTCTGCCATTCCTGAGGTGACCCGGACATGGTCTCATACTGCGTATCTTCACAGTTCTGCTCTCTATAACTCAAGCTTACAAATTTAGTTGACTCTGTACTGCTGTGTCAACAGTATGACTGAAATATTTGGCCATACTGCCTATTTTCCTCCAAAATGCAAATGAAAATATAAGATTCTTTAATTTAGACAGTCAGTATTCCATTAGCCAAATTCAACTGGACTATTGTGCAGGAAAATGTGACATAGTTAAAGAAGTAGTCTATGTAAGATTTATTGGTCATAAAAGACTATTGTCATGGACTCCCACCTATTTCTAAATCTAGATCTTTCTTTTATAAGAACTGAATCAGATGACTAAACTCTTAAGGAAGTGTTAACACAATGATCCTTGACAATGGCAAGCTTTTCACAAAGTTACTTTGGAATGTGGAGTATCTAAGGAGAAAATAAAGGAAGCAGTTCAACATGTGGAAGCCCAACTTTAGGACATATGGAGCTTGATAAAGATTATAGTCCTTCATAATTAGTGCTCCTGGTGGATGCCAGAATTCTTCAGAGCCAAAGACATAGATCTGTGAATACAAATGGGTTTCTCTCACAGTTACATAAAAATTTCTAGTAGGATTTCAATAAAAACAGATTTCTCAAGCTTCCTTTTCTGAATACATTTTGGGTCAATATTACGTTTTTTTTTTTCCTCTCCCTCAAAATAGATTTCAATAAAAATTTTAACAGGATTATAACTCTGTCTAACATATAATCATAAAAGAAAGCTTGCAAAGGCCATTTCTATTAGTGGTAACAAAAAAGTAAAAAGATTGCAAGAAATTTGATCTCTTCAAGTTGAAACTCAACATCCTCCAGCCTCTAACCAAGATAAATATGTTTTATGAATCACCCTAATCCCATCACAACCAACACATGAGACCCATGTGGCTAGGAGAAATGTTGGAAGAATAACACTTCCTACAATAATGCATATTTTGGTGGGAGGACAAGTACATGTCTCCTATAAACACAAGTTAAATAACACTGTGCACATCCTAAAGCTTCAGGAGAAGATTGAATGGATATATTTTTAAAATGTAACCTAATAATAGCACATAATTTCAAGGGGCCCCTGGCCAGGTAGTTGGGTATCAATATAAATATCTGGGTATCATATGAGAAAAATACCACAAGGTCTAAGTCTATGAAGACTTAACAGGCCTTCTTTTTGATCTCCAGAAATACAAAAGCATCAAGAGTCCAAAATTGAAAAATCTTCCCCATGTTTCTCCCAAGTCAAAATCCTAAAAAAGAAGCAGTTATAATAGTAGATGGTCATGTCATTTACCACTGGGCTTCCAAAGAAATGCACACACCCAAAACCAGATTGAAAATGAAAGTGAAGGGGCGCCTGGGTGGCTCAGTGGGTTAAAGCCTCTGCCTTCGGCTCAGGTATTGATCCCAGAGTCCTGGGATCGAGCCCCACATGGGGTTCTCTGCTCCGCGGGGAGCCAGCTTCTCCCCCCATCTCTCTGCCTGCCTCGCTGCCTACTTCTGATCTCTGTCTGTCAAATAAATAAATAAAATCTTAAAAAAAAAAAAAAAGAAAGAAAGAAAGAAAATGAAAGTGAAAGCAAATCTCAGTTGGAGAGGTACAGGGGTCTAATTTAGCTTCTTTTCAAGTCAAAGACATCAGCAGGCCCTCAGAGGTGCTCAAGGACAGACTAAAGGATAGTGGGTACCTACCAGGATTGAACTCCCTGCATTTACAAGCTGGGAAAGACATGCAGAGATAGGGGCACCACTCTGCATTCTCAATGATTAGCATATCCTCAAGCTTCAGGCTAATTAGCATTTAAGGAAATGATGTGGTCAAAACTATCTCCACATTATCAGATCAAAGTCAGTGTCAGATTGGTCCTTTGCCATCTGTACAAGAGTGGGATTTCCTAAGGTTCTCTCAACACTCACTGGTAATAAACAACTTAGCTTCCAACTTTAATTTCATCAGTCAAGCTATCAATGTTGAAAACATACAAATGAATATATTAACCATATGTGTAGCATTTCTAACCTAATAGTTTAGTTTTTTAGGCTTTTTTTTTTTTTTTGGAAAAGTGACCTATTACCATGAAAAAGAATAAAAATCTTCATTTCAATTTAATTTACTCCCATAAAAGTAAGAGATTAAACGTTCCAAGTTTTAGAAAGGACGAAATAGGATATTTTCACTGTGTTCTTTTTAGAATTTTTATTATACAGATAAGAAAAGCCCCTCTGATATTTTATGTTAGACATGGTAGATTATGAAGAAGAATTTATTAGTTGAAAAGCAAGGGTAGACATGATAAGTTCCAAAATAGATAAGTGCATTGGAAATTTGTCTAGAAATCAGATAATTTAGCTTCAATTCAGCTTAGAAGAAAAAGATATTAATACATAGGTCAAGCCATATAATAGTACAAAAAGAATGTCCTTACCTTGGGTGATATGGGACAAATGGTATGGACTAGAAATTCTAAAAAATTCCTTTCACATCCATGATTTAAAAACTAGTAAATTAAGTCTGTGTTTTATAATGATCTATCTACTGTAATCGTTTTGGGGAAATAAGCAGCACAAGTAGGAAGATGTTATTGTAGCAAAGCACTTAAAAGCCTTTCTTCTCTCACAGGTGGTGGGCGTGTGAAAATTGAGAGTGTAAAACTGGATTTCAAAGAAAAGGCCCAAGCTAAAGTCGGCTCACTGGACAACGCTCACCATGTCCCCGGAGGTGGCAACGTCAAGGTAAGAACCAAGGTTGTGAGCTGATCCTGTCTTCTGTTTTTTAATTATTCTGAAATGCTCCTCATCAGAATGGGTCACCGATCAAAGACTAGACAAGTAGGAAGTAGGAGTGGCAGAGCTCTGAGACACGGTGAAAAATCTAGGGGCCAGTGAAGACACTTGAGGTAACAAGGCCTGGCGCTTGTCTTGAACAGATCGACAGCCAGAAGTTGAACTTCAGAGAGCATGCGAAGGCCCGTGTGGACCACGGAGCTGAGATCATTACGCAGTCCCCAGGCAGATCCAGCGTGGCATCCCCCCGACGACTCAGCAATGTCTCCTCTTCTGGAAGCATCAACCTCCTTGAATCCCCTCAGCTTGCCACTTTGGCCGAGGATGTCACTGCTGCACTCGCTAAGCAGGGTTTGTGAATATTTCTCGTTTAGCATCAGAGTAATAATATTTAGGCATGAGCTCTTGGCAGGAGTGGGCTCTGAGCAGGTGTTACATTCATTCTTTACAAACCATAAAATAAATCATCTCATTCCCAAACTGTAGTAATTGTTACAGTTTTATAAAAAACAATGAATAGTATATGCAGAAATTGACTTGATTTCCATTTGCAACAGGAAGACACTGGCTTTACATGAGTACAATTGGACAATTATTTTTGCTCTGCTCTGTTTTGCATGGAGTATTATAATTTTAAAAATTGCATTTTTACCTTTCATGTGCCTGAAGGCTATCCATACATTCTGAAAGGCCTTGCTGAAATCCAAGCTGCTCATTCCACTATTCTGTTGCTGGGTGAAAAAATAAAAGCTGCCCATTTTAACTTATTACAGGTTACATTAAATCAAGGAGTCTGATTGCAGGAAGGAAAGAGCATGTAAGAAATAAGTTTTTTGGTTTTTTTTTTTTTAAGCGTTATTTTGTATAAATGGAAAGGAAGATTCAGTTAAGTTATTAACATTTGGGACCTGGATAATTATATCAGAGTATAAGTCAATCCAATAAATTATTTAACTAATTAAAAATAGTTACAAAGCATTTGAGCTGTGGTTGAGGAAGCAGTTTAAAAGTGCATCTCTTAGGAATGAGGCACTTTCATTAGGATGGACTCGTGTCTGATTAGAATGTCAGTTGATCAGCTAGATTTGTGTCCACACTACAGTTTCACACTCCCTTTCCATCTGTTTGATACAGTATTATAGATATAAATATATATATATTTCTCTGTGGCCATTTGTGATACTTCCTCATATACTTGAATATTATACTTCCTTATTCACAGTATCTGTGTCTCCTGCACCCTTTGGTGTTGCGATTTTAGGTATGTGAAAGTAGATGTTAGCAGGGTTCTTTCCCTATTTAAAAAAAAAAAATACATTAAAAAAGAACAAAAAGTTTTAGCATGAAGTTGCTTCCTGTAACAACTCAGAGCTGTAACCCTGTTCTAGTGCCAGATACAAGTCTCTCCCGTGATGCTAGGAAAATTTATTTTTCTTTGCTTTCACCAACATGGAGTTTGTGGGGGTGGGTCCAGTTATACATTAAAAGGGTTTACAGATTGTTGGTTTAAGATTTTGGATTTATCTCATTTTGAATTATGGAATACTTTGGGTTTTATTCCTGTAATCATTCATGAAACAGACTTCTTAAGATTTTTTTTTTTTTTTCCATTTGCTAAAGTTGAAACTAACAGAGGGAGTTTGGGACATGTTGTCCCACTCTTCCAAACAGTGCCTGCTAATTAAATTATCTGAGAGAAAATATTTGGCTTCCTTACCCAAAGTAAAGATCCCTTGATCAGAAAGGACAAGTACAGTAATTTGAGAAGCCAGAGCTACGAAATACTTGAGATACACATATCTAAATCAGTTTTCTTGGGATTCCAACATTGCCCTCTGTACAGGAACCCTATATGACTTAGTATTACTTATCAATAGATGATACTGGTCTGACTTAATCTACAGTCTGGGAAATCACCAATTAATTAATTCCTCTCACAAATCATTCATCTTGGACTTGTGAATAAGCAACAAAATAGTCAATGGCCCGAATAAGCAATCAGTTACCAGTCTGGGTGGATATTTTTCAGTATTTTATCTATTCTTTTTCTTGCTCGGGGCTGGTAGATTGGATCTGAACAGTTAAAGGCAAAGAGTCTGATAGGTGTTTGATTCCCGTGAGCCAAATTAATTTCTGACTATATAAGAGGAAATGATGGGCATGGATGAGGCAACGAGGAAGTACAGTAGTATCTAGGAAAGCAGCCAAGGGATGCAAAGACAGACAGACATGGGTACCATTTTGTGACCCACTGGATATTGCAACCAATGTGACTTCCACCAAAAAAAAAAAAAAAAAAACCTCTAGGATCAAAAAGATAGTATTCATTCTCAACTAAGAGGTTTTACATCGGCAAATAGGTTGACGAATCAATGTTGACAAATGAAAATGTTGACAAATCAATTCTTTTATACAACAGCCAAAAAATTAGAAACTACTGAGTATGACTATGGATGTGTCTATTTTCTGCGTAATAATTGCTATGATGTGGATTTGGCCTATCTGAGCATTTTATTCATCAGCTTCCCTTGAAATGCTCCAGAAAATCGGAGAAGAAAGAGTAGTTGCGTGGAGACCTATGGTATTTTCTTACATGTTTGACAGTGTTAGATAGTGACTGAAGTTCTCTAGAAAGAAGGAGTTAACAGCTGGTTAGAACAGTTTTAACCTATAAAATAAATATTTTTTACCAACTTGGTTTAATTGTTTATAAAAGTTAAGAATAAGTAATTATGCTTTATATGTGAAAATTCTGTTTCTTATAAATACATGCCCAAGATACAGATTATATAAAGCCCTCAGATACTAGATTTGGCATTAAAACAAATGTTTATTTCAAATTATAGTAAAATTATAATGAGTAAATGCCCTTCCTTTGTATGGAAATATTATTCTTTATAGTGTTCACCAAATAAACCCTGATAATTTGTACCAATCCAAGAGAGAAACACACAGGCTAAAGGTCTTCTTATGGGGTTAGGGAGTGGAACCTATCTTGCCTTCACTCTCAAGATTAACGACACAAATTAAGCTTTTTGAACACCACTCTTGTGGGGATACCCATACGCTGATCTAGAAATTAAAGCTTTATAGTTCCAATTCTAGATCTATTACTGCCAGTTTCTCTCTGGCTTTAGCCTTTGAGAACCTGTTTAAGGATACATAAGTAATCCAGAGCTGTGAGGAGTTGAAAGGCCGGCTTCTTCAATGAACTCACTCTCTCTGGGTCACCTGCAACCAATAATTGGGTACTTTATAATGACGCAGGAAAGATCCGAGTTGATGATGAGTTTCAAAGGCCCTGTTCCTTTGGGAACCAACTCTCTCTGGATTCTCCTGCTGAGTTCCAGCAGGGTGATAGGTTGAAATCCCACCCACAAGCAAGACACCTGTGTAACACCAACTGGGTATGGCTGAAGAAGGCTGATGAGAGAACTTCACTAAATGGAAGAGTCTGCTGATGGTAACTGGCTTCTCCACACTTTCATACAGAAATACAGCAGGAAATAGGATCATCAGCCAAAATGTAGCATCACGTCACTATTGTTAGAGAAATAATCTCAATGTAGTTGATTTTGACCTTGTTACAATTACGCTTTTTGTCCGATTTTTCATGCCACAAAAATGAGAAAAACAAATGATTCATGGTCTAAGTAGCCAAGAAGAAAAAAATAGATTCATGGCTTGGAAAGGCAAATTCTAGGCATTCCTTCCAAAACTGATGTGCTAAAATCAGCACTGATGTTTGTTTTTTTACACCTAGGATTTTTAGCCTGGGTGTGTAGGTTGAGGCCAAGTCCCTCTGCAGGAAAGAGCTTATTTTTAAACTCAGAAAATGTCAATCATGAAAATCTACTTCAACTTTAGCAAAAAGAAAAAAAAAATCAACAAAAAGTATACTCTGTATGCTGGGATTCCAAGGTTCCAACATGCCGCTACAAATCTCTGGGGGGTTTCTTTCTTCTGATAATTCTAGAGCCTGTTACCATAGAAAGGCATTTCTTCAATGGCTGGTTGTAGTTAGTTCATGTTTTTCAATCAAAATTTGCAAATGTATTTGTTGCTGTATAGTGATTGTTTTGCAAAATAAAATTGCTTGTCACCTAATCCACAGTTTCAGATTGTTTCTTCTCTGGGAAAAAAAAAAATATTACACACACACACACACACACACACACACACACACGGCTCCGTCCAACCAAGGAAAATTTATGATGACAAGGCTCTTATTATCTCCCCAACGTGTGTCGGGATTTGACCACTCCTGTATTTAGCAGGATGCTATCTGTTGCAAGTGACAGAAACTGAAATCAAATTGACTTAAGCATAAGGGCAAATTTATTGGCTCAAGTGACCAACAATGCAGGCCTCAGGCATGGATGGATCCAGGCATCCAAAAGATGTTAAGACTCTTTTTCCGACCCTGGATCCAGGCTTTCACAAGATGTCATCGGGAATCTTTCTTTTCCCAAATCTCAGCCCTGCTTCTTCTGTGTTGGTTTTATTCTCAGGCAGACACCCCTTTCATGACAGTCTCTGGGAGCTCCAGCTTCACAACCCACCAAAAAAAAAAAGCCCTTTCCCACTAGCACAACCAAGATCTCAGGTCTGAAAATCATTGAACCTTGGATCACCTGCTCACTTCGGCTGATTACCCATGGTTAGGTCACATTCTTTTCCCTATTCCAGGTGGTTGGGGTAGGAGGAAAGTAAAGGGAGAAGGGGCTTCTACTGAACTACATAACCTAATCATGAAGAGGAAATATTCCCTTCTAAGTAAATAAATGTTCCCTCCTAAGTAAAGTCAGTCTGCTACTGTGAGAAGAGAGAGGAATTGATTCTGGGCAGATCATAAGGCAGACATTCTATAGGCCCATGCACCTTATCCCTATATTTATTTAATCTTTTAGCTCCTTGCTATTCAAATTATGTTCAGGCTTCACCTGGGCCCTTGTTAGACATATAAAGTCATATGTTCCACTGCCGGCCAACTTACAGCATTCCCCTAGATGAATCATCTGCTCATTAGAGTCTGAGAAGCATTCAGCTCATCTAGTCCAAGGAGAAAAAGCTCCACAACAGCCCACTGACAGGTAAGAATCATTTCTAAGACTACAGGCGGTAATATCACCAAGTCTGATGTCAGAGTCTGAGTATCAAGTGGTAGAAACTTGAGACTGGTGGAAGAAAAGTCTTTGCGAGGGAGATTTGCCAGACCCACCATTCTAACTTGGCTGAAACTTAGCTCTATCAATGGAGTCCTCACCTTGCATTCAGTTTTCCTTTGCTAATAATGCAGATTTGGTACGATGTAGCCAACATCATTACACTTCCAAGAGTTTCTTATTTTAGGGGTTCCCGGGTGGCTCAGTTAAGTGTCCGACTTCAGCTCAGGTCATTATCCAGGGTCCTGGGATCGAGCCCCACATTGGGCTCCCCGCTAGGAGGGGAGTCTGCTTTCTCCCTCTCCCACTCTCCCTGCTTGTTCTCCTGCTCTCGCTATCTCTCTGTCAAATAAGTAAAAATCTTTTTTTTAATTTTTTTTTTAATTAGTATCCATATTATCCTTCAGGGAAGTCTCTACACCGGATTTAGACACTTATTTGTCTGATAGCATGAATCACGAGAAAGTCTTAGTTTTCTTTCTTATTAACAAGGCAAAGAAGATTTTGCTTGGCTTGAGAAGAGACAAGTAACTCAAATATAATGTAGGATTACAAAATAACCCTGTATATAGCTTATATAGAGGGGGAAACATCCTCTTCTTTTACGATATGGCACTTGTAGAACTTTGACCCAAATAATTCAGGGATAGAATGTGCTCTCTGTCAAAAATACACAGTCCAGCAACCCAAAATTGTTTCAAAACACTATCCTTTACTAGGTTTTCTTGAGTATGTTGAAGAAACATCACAGTCACACTAAAAAGCCCACTTTTTTTTATTCTCTCCTGCTTTTTATCACAAACATAGTACAGCTGTTTCCATTTCTAATCCTTCACATTCCGTTAAAATCTCCTGCCTCAGGCCTGGTTGAGGTAATAGGTCTGTGGCTTCCAGATGTGCTTTGTTTGGAGGGCACCGTGTTTTCAAACTCAAGAAAGTTCACACACTCACACATTCATACACTCTTTCAGATTTGGATCTTTCAAAAGTTAAAGGTTTATAACTTCAGGTTCAGACCCACTCCTTTTTCTCTCCCTCCCAAGTTTTTCCTCATTCTCTGAAACAAAAACCCAAAAGAATGAACCCCCAGTTCTAAAGTGGAGGGAAGGGTCCGGTTGGATAGGTCAGATCAGAATCCTCAGGGAGACTGGGAGCCTGAAGAACAAATATTTAATAGACTTTGCCCTATCTTGAGAAAGATGAAAGAAATCTTTAATATGTTTATTTGACAGTGATCACTGGTAATTTCCATGTCCATGATAAACATACTTAAGATTCTTTTCCCACCTATATTTTTCATTAAAGCAAAGGAAAAAAGAAAAAAAAAGTGGCATTTGTTTGCTTGTTTCTCCACATAAGATTTTTTAAAAATCTCATAGTCAAGTGAGAAATGAAAAAAGCTATCCTCTTGGTAGGCCTGAACTTGTAAGGTCCTTGCTTA